TGTTGGGGCGCTGACATACGCGATATTGTTTACATACAAGCCGCTTGGCAGACTCTCCTTCAATTACAGTCAAGAGGAAGTGATCCTTTTGTGCCATTTACGCCAGTGAGACAAATGGACGTTTCGTGATCTCAAAAAGCTTGCCAGAACAACTGTTCACGAGCTTGGGCAGGTGGGACTCTCGATCGTTCACGCCTCTGCCATCGATCGGAATTGATGTCGTGCGCCCGCGCTTGATGAGTTTTGCAGCGTTGTTTTGGGTATTTTCGAGATTCGGTTTGCTGTTCATCAATTTCCAACGACGTGCCAAGATTCCTCCGGCTGCGAGGAATGTCGTGGATTGCGTCGCCTCTCGTAGACCCTGTGACAACGAGGCGGAACTGATTTTGCCGTGACAACGGCGTATTTAAACACACGAGCCCCGCTCAAAATTGAAACGTGCCTTGAAAGACACAAACCTGCCACGCAAACCCCTCAAAACATATCTCTGAATTCACGGAGGTCGGTTGCAACTATACCACAATAACCCTAGCTCAATCCGTCCCCCGTCAGTTTTTAAATATGCTGGTTTGAATTCTTTCTCTAAAGCGTGATCATTAACAACCGAAGAACCACCACCGACTTGCTTACACAGTCATCCTGACTTAATCATCCCAAACGGGCCGCTGCAACGAACCACCGAAGTCACCGACTCGCATTTCCTCGCATTCTCCCCAAGGGGACTTTTTTTTTAGGTTGGCGTAACTCTCTCTCACACACACCTCAGCTTCCTCAAAAATCCCCTTCATTGCAGTTTTGCGCATTATTCATGATTATCCTCCTGTCGTCTGGAGATAAATCAAAACCGGGTTCCGTGGCCTCCTTGTCAAGAACTGACCTCCATCGTGCCTTTGGCAATATGCATTTCACCCGCCGGTATTATTAGCTTGCCATTGCAATAAAAAGAACTAGGATCAACTCCAGGTTGAGGTAATATGCAGGATTGCATCCAACCTTTCTTGCTACCTAAAGCCGTATTTCGCAAGTGAAACGCACTATCAGCGGTTCCATAAGGTTGTTATTGTCAACCGCGCCACAAGGCTCATGGCGGGGGGGGGTGGCAGTGCCAGCCGGTGAAGGTGGTTGCACAGGTCCAATGCATAGTCTACCTGTGACCATCTTGACCACCAACCACCTTACATACCACGGCCAGGGGTCTAGTGTTTACAAGAACAAAAGTGGGAAAATCTTGACCTTCGGTCACTTTTAAGAATCTGATAATAGCATCACTGCACATATACATCAGAAAGGCATTTGAAACCCTCAAACCAGGTGTGATGCTGATTTGGTACACGGTTTGGATTTGACTTACGCATCAAAATCAAGTTTACTACGCTTACTGAGATGCAAGACAAATATTAGAGATTAAAAACACATTTCTTGAAAATTTAAAATGCTATAAGAAAAACAACTCAAAAGGTATTCCCTATTTACGGAAACGGAATAGGACGACTGCAGGTCACGGTTAAGTGATACTTCGACCACAAAGGTCCCCTTTTTGGTACACGTTCAGTGTTAAAGATTCAACTGCAACACGCTGTACATTACGATGGCACTGTCAATAAACCTACAAGATCTGGTACTAAAATCCCTACGCTTACAGTTAAATATACAAAGAAGGAGTTATTCTTCGCCAACGTGCAATTTTGCCTGTAAACAGAAATTGAGGGAAGCCAGTACCTTATCCACCTTGAGCTGAAGCACCCCATCATCGGTTGGAAAGAGCCAGGTCGGAGAGGAGTCCTCATTTTGTTGCATTTCACAGAAACAGCAAATTGTTCCCTCCAAACGGCCTCTGTTGCAAGGAAATTTGCGCCCTCTGTTGGTCCAGCTCAGGGCTCACGAGATGTTTGTCAGTGACGTTGATCAAACCTTGTCCCAGCTGCTGTGCGTAAACACGCGGGTTCCATATCTTCATTAGCTGTTGCGCCATATCCAACAGGCGACAGCTTTGACTCTGTCAATCAGGAACCAAATAAGGCGCGGCGGAATCAAGATATTTAGGAAGGAATGAGCTTGTTCACGTCCCAGCAGGGCCTCTAACACCAAGTCACGACTGAGTGCGCCTAGTACAATGTAAAGACTGCACTTTACAGAACAATTCCTCCACTGCTAGAACGTACTTCTGTTACGTAAGTCTACAATGCAACCGTTAAAAAAAATCCGTTTTAAGCAAACCACCTGCAAATGAGTTCAGACTATTTGGTGAGTGACGCGCCGAGTTTTTCAGAGCCAACTATAATTACAACCTCAGGTGTTTTCCTGGAGGTATAGAGGTTTCCCGTTTCTGCCGTCTCCATGGCGTTTTTGCTGTTTTAATTTAACTAAATAGGTAAAATGCACAAAAGGTTTAGTCGAGGCTTTCCCAGTGATAAAAAAGCTCTTGCTCTTGGAGGACCCGTTAACGCATAACCGTTATTTCGTATGCGTTTTATTGGCCTGTCAGTCTTAAATGCATCGTTTATTCATTGCATGGATAATCAGATGATCGCTCACGCGTTGGGCTCCATTGTCTTTACTTGGTAGCACTAGGCAGGATGAACCAAGTGGACTAAGGGCGAATAATTTCCTTGCCCTTTGTGGCATCCATTTTAGTAAATTTCAAACATGCGGAAAGCTTTCCAGTTTTCAGTTTTTGTAACAGCAATGCCCTTACCTCGGCCACTGCATTTTGATGAAAATACCTGGGTTGAGGATACAAGATTTTAAGAAATGTTTACGAGATATACGTATATGCGACTTGGGTGAGGCTCCATCGAGAAACCAACTTGGATGAGAAATGCACAGTCTTCTAATGTTTTGGACAAAAATAACCGCTTGAAATGATCATTATTTAATTTTTGTAACAATCAGCCTTTCCCAGGCCTCGTGCAAACCCCAGTATGTTTTAAGCAGAATTATTCTAGCACTGTTATGGACAGTGCGCAAACACCTCGAAGAGATGAAAATAGACGTTCATCGACCAGCCTGATCTTTGTTGCCACAAGGAAAATATAGATTCGGATAGTTCCAAGCCCAAAGGGACTCAAAACCTTATCAGAAGTTGTCTATGACAGGCACTCTAATCTAAAGCCATTCGAGCCACAGAGCTTCAAAAATCTCATGAAAGTTAAAACCCTTATCATCCGGAATTAAGATTTCAAAATACTCTACAGATTGTATCACAAAAAAGAGACCAATTTTATGAGCATTAGAAATATGTTTTTCCGCACAAACAGCTCTGGTTGGTCTGACAAGACAGTAGGTGTTTTGGCACACGTGTAGGAGGATTCAGCTCCCAGACAAAAGGGGAGTTCTTCGATAGAGAGACAGCCGCCGGCTAAGAGCACCTAGGGCACCCTGGGCATCTCATAGCGTTGTCTGCTTTATTTCAGTTCCCATGTGCAGGTTGGATTTTTCTTTCGAGGGAACCGAGCGGTCGTTCACACCGGAAGGGGATTGTTGTGACAAGGACGGGTCAACCACCAGGACGGGTAACTAGGAGGGTGCTAAAGATTTAAAAAAGAAAAATTGACGGAGCTAAGTGGTTATCAAATGTTGCTGTACAACAACCCGCAGTATCAAGCCCTCCACTATGATTGGCGCTGTAATTAAATTTCTAAAAATTTGAGGCATTTTTTTTCTCTCATGTTGAACATTAGGCCTAAATTCGATCTCTGTCAATTTCACAATGTCGATTTGGCTATTTATGCATTAAAACACACCATCCATACAATCCTCCTTGTTCTTTTCTGCGTCCTCTGAAGATAGAGACTGGAGCCCACGCAAGCCAAAGTTTTCGGAGATCTTGGAGTATTTGCCTCGAGCAGAGTTGAAAAGAGCCACATTGGTTGGAAGTATTCATTTCAGTTGGTAGCCGCAACTGCAACGCTTAGGTTTTCTAGTCGTTGGTGACCAGCGATACGCAGTTAGTACCAAAGGAGCCTTCGTTGCCAAGGCCCGCTCTTGGTCCAGCTATAAAATGCTGGTTAACTGACGGTGAAGGGTTACAACGGGTTTGACCTGTATGACATTGGACCTAATAGGTGGTAAGTTATATACAGTCGAACTTCGCACCAAAGAGACCAAGGTTCGAGTCCGGCTGGGCCAAGGCTTAAAAGTGCATTTGGTTTCCAGCCTATACTCGCTCTTGCATGTTTTCTCCGGGTACTTCGGTTTCCCCCGCCTCTAAAACTGGACCTCCTTTCGAACTCTATAATGTGATGCTGATTAATAAAGGTTATGAATAAACGTATCGTTATTTGCACAAATAGTCTAAGTAGCTAAAAGCGCCATTAAAACAAATCAACAACAGTCGCAAATCATTGCAGAGAGCACAGTTAACACAGCATTTTGCTTATAACAAGGGCATCTTAGGACCCAATCTCTTGTCTTCATTCCGGATAATATAAGGCTCCTGTTGCAACAAGGTAATCTGCAAAGTCCAACGAACCTTTTATTACTGAGGTTCAACTGCACACTGTTCACGGCCCTCCGTTTTGGCCGAGGCATAGGCAAGCAATGTCGTATACACAGTACGTGATCCTCACTTAGATAGTGAAGAGCCTTACAAGTTGTGCAAACACTGCCGAAATACCTTGTTTCGTTTGGTATACATTACGTCTTATAGCCTTAATGGATAATTTCTTAGCAATTGAACTCGCTGGTTGTGGTTGAAATCCTTCTCATTGGAATTTGTGAAACGCAATTGAGTCTTTACCTTACCCTATACCAAACAAGCTTTATTCGGCGACAAAAGACTCTAAGAGAGGGTTTCTTTTCTGTTCCGCAGAACACTTGTCAACAATTTCAGATAATACAAAAATTGTCCTTGAAGTATATTTTGGTTTCTGTTATTGTTATTATTGTCGTCGTTACTGATCACCCGCATCACGTGGTTCTGGTTGAGACCATTGAAAGTGTCATATCAACATTTCTGTAAACCAAGACACCAAATAATTGTGCAAAAATATCCAACCATGTCGGTAAGTCTGTCAATAGATTGTTTAATTGTGGTTAAAATAGTTTATTATACAGGAAAGTTAAGTATTCATAATTATATTTACAATGAATACATTTATATTTCTTATATAATAGTAGAAATATCCCGAAGTATACCCACGCCTAGCAAAATATATGACAACATTTTTTTCATTAGTACACCTCGCTCTCTTGCAAACCGTAGGACCACACGGAAACAGATACCTGTTGAAACAGTGATTTCCATAATGGCACGCGTACCACACTTCTATTTCACCGAACGTAATATTACCACCCGGATCCGACTACTCACTGCTACTTATAAATGAGGCATGTGGAGCAAAATAGCCATGCTCTAAGTGTGATGCTAATATATTATCGTATGATGTAACACAATAGTAAATTTGTAAGTGAGGCTTGTTCGAACCTTCTGCTTGCATATTTTCGTGACGCTGACTAGCCTCTCTTGTAAGTTTGCTTACTGTATTGCATCCTACGATAATATATTAGCATAAGAGTTCTTGCAGGTTTTTTTACTGCACAGGCCTCACTTATAAGTAGCAGTGGGTAGTCGGATTGGCTGATATTACTTTGTTTACTCGTGACAACGGTGATAGAAAAATTCTATCACTAGAAGAATTCTATCACAACCAATTACTATAACAGTTATTAACGCAGTGCCTCCGCGAGTTTACAGTATAATCGTGAGAGTTCAGATTTGTTCGTAGCAAACTTCTCCACAGTGTCAAAGAAAGTGAAAGCCGATTAAAAACCGAACTATCAAAACAGGAATGATCAATTATAGCAAGACAAAAAGTTAACTTATATGAGCCCAACCACGAGGCAGTAACATTAAAGACAGTGACCCTTAATGTGTTCTTACCGCGGAGATTATAAAATAACACTCAGAGATAAATTGAGCCCAAAGCCTGAAATATCTGACGACATCATCCCCGAATATGGTTACAAATTCCCGACAGAATCATAGCTGAATCCGCGTTTATTTCCATTTGCGTCAAGAACACGTGTTTCCATTCCCAATGGCTACGCATGTTTTGAAGCCGGGGTGATACTTTCAAAGCTACCGGTAATATTTGATGTCTATAAACATTATTCAGCAATAAAATATTCTGTCTCTTAAATAGTTAAAAATTAACTTGAAGAAAATCAGCTGCCAAACACGTCTTTACTCAAGGCAACATTTTTCAAATTTGTCGAAGAGTTTGTTTTTGATCATATACAGAATTGTTAACCACTTACACTGAACAGTCCTCTAACAGATGTTTTTTATGAAGTTGATGTCAACGATATAAATTATTATTGTTTTACTTGTAACAGGCATAATATCCTGGAACTGCAAAATAAAGCATAACATTGGATATCTGCACATTCTTTGTCCGGCTGCGTCTTAATACCTTGGCTTCAGTTAACAGTTAATGTAACACGTTCATGTAACACATGCATGTATGTGAAGTGGCTGTACAGCCTCCATAGACGCACATATTATAACAATCTCCGGCCGCAGCCAGGAAAATTAATTGGACAAAGGCTATACCACAGACATATAAACGCAAGGACCGCCAGTCTTGCGCTTATGACCGTGATTTTGAAAAGCATGGGCAAACAATGGACAAATCCGACGGCCATAATTAGAAGTCATTGGGGGCAATTCCGTTCGCACACAGGCGGTGCGCGCGTGTGAAATTCCTCCTTGACCAATACGCAGTAGTCAATTGCCGAAGTGCGCGCGCGCTCTGGTTGAGACAGCTGCTTGAGGGTAAATAGTCTGGAAACCAGACCCGATGATTCTGACTACTCTACAAATCAAGGGTCCGGTATCACCCAATCTCTACGTGACCAAGACTGGAGGAATTCCCGTTTATCTTCAGTATGTTCGGATGGTTTCGTTGATTTTCGGTTATTCCCGGTCGGAAGGCAAGCTGTTGGACGTAAACTCCCGTGTCCTAATGGCAGCTGTTGAGCCAACAGTATTTGACTTTACACTGAAATCGAAGGTCTCCTCAGTAATGTCCCTAGAGGAGAATCTAGGAAGAATCAGGACATGATGACGACTGGCAAATGGCCACACATACAGGGGGCACCACTGTAATAAATTCGAAAACACCCAGGCTCTTAACTTGTGAGCTCTGACCCTTGCATCATATCTTTTATATCCGTGAGTGATACCTAAGCTAAGATTTTTTTTATCAAGAGTCGTCAGGGAATCTCTGGGCAGGGAACTAAACGAGAGTGTAAAAGGCCCTTCAAATGGCGTCTAGTCGGGTTGGTCTATCCAGTTCGTATAAGAGACTTCAATATACATGCAGACGCGCCATGATTTGCAAACTCTCACTGGACGATTACTGAAGGTGCGCGTTAACTTCCGGTTCCATGCAAACGGCGATCAATGTATGTAACTCTATGTGCACTGCATGTGCAGTGGACGTAGTTTAAACTGAAGTGACGTCACACTCACAAACCTGATAGGATGGATGACAGCGCGTTCACGCGAGGCACTTACATTGCCTGTATCATTTTGTTTACATGTTCTCCCACAATACGTTCACCTGTTTTGCCATCCTATACTGTTATCCCTTATTTTGAAGCGCTGCAACCGCATTGTTTGGAATCCACATGGGAAACAATGGCTTCACAGAATTTTATGGCTGGAATTCGTCAACTGTGCGTAAATATCCTACACAGAGGGATGAATTCGCCCAGAGTTTAGATTTTAGTCGGGCACCGCGCAGATCACAAAATGTTCACGTAGATTTGAATACGATCCGGCGGTCTATGCGTTTATATCTGTCTGTGGCTATACCGTCATGGATTTGCTATCTGCTGCCCTCTTGTGTTGTATAGTGGGCATTTGAAAATATTTCATTACGAGATCCGTATGAATAACTGCACATCCAAAGTCTGAACGGCCAAACTATGTTCAGGCAGTTTCCAGCAATGATAGAAATACTGTTCACATTTTGGGGAAGCCACGTGTCAAACAATTCCCCAACTTCTGTTAGTTTCCCCATAAATATTTTTGGGCATACAGGACACCGCTTTAACCCAACTCTTGATAATGCTGACACTTCAAAAAATTTACGGTACGGGCATGCCCCCGCTACACCTTAAAATAGGCGGATTGTGGTCATGACCTGTAGTTTTGACAATAGAGGCCACCTGCCTTACCATTGAATCAGTTGAAGGATTTATTACGGCTGGAGATCCTGCTATTAGTACATCGACAGAGGGCGCCCTTGAACACGTTACTCCAGAGCTGTTTATAGAGGGAGTTGCGACGTGAGTGTCTCAATTATTGTTGGAACCAATACGGTGGATCATGCGTCAGTGCACATGGACAATTAGCTTGCAACAGCTGCATGCTGTACTGCACGTATAATGAACAGCCATGTTGGTTCCAAAGTCTGAAGGTGGTGCTACTCGCTCTACACGTAGCCCTGCGTTACTCCAGGAAGACGTCCGTTGAGCTTAAGTTTGGCTCACTGACTGTCTTACAAAGGTGATCTGCGATGAAATTGTTGTTGATGTTACTGTAGAGACGGCAAGGGTCCATGTCTCCGTACAGAGGCCCAGAGTCGACGTTTGTCTCTTCCTCGACAACTGCAAAGTGTCGCCAGACAAAACAGGAAAGCAAAGAATGGGAAAAATAGGGTTAAATTTATTGGAAATGAAAGTAAACCATGAAAGTTGATGACAGTCAGGGTCTATTTAATATTTATTCATAAAGTTCTGTGTCTTGAACCTACAAATATTTGGAAGTCCACACGTCCCTCTTTGAATTTATGGAAAAGCATAAAAGTTGTGCCGATGCCGTAGATGTGTGGGGCTGTGGAATACTCGTGCTTCGGGCCGAGGGAGCACCCCATACGGTGGTGGCAATTTTAGGAATTAAAATGAGGTTGGTATACTGAGAAAACACCGAGGTGTAGAATTGAGGACTGAATTTTCACAAAGGGTCAGGAGAGGACCTCAAACCGTTTGGGTATTCTGCCGACAGTTGTTGACCAAGCATACTTATTTCTTTGAGGTGACGATCGTCCGTCATCAGCTGGTGGTCCTTCTTGAGGGAAACGGACAACGGCAAAATCCCCGGGGAGTCCGATGTCGGTATCTGAAGTAGAGGGACGGAACTGCTGCTCTTTACGTCTCCCGAACCGCTAGCCGAAGCCTCCTCGTCTGAGCAGTCGCCGTACGGTGAGCACGAAAGGTCTAGATAGTCCTGCATGAGGATTAAAGCAAAGTGCTGCCGCCTGATTTCAACTACATGTACTTGTTTTAGAGCGTCTGACTTTTTAACTAGATTTCCAAACACTTTCAAACAAACACTTCTTTCAAACACTTCTGAAAATATCTAGAAAAAGGAGGGGCATAACTTTTAAAGAACATCCACAGTTTAATTTTTCTTTGTATTGCGTGGGAAGTCAGACTGCAATGAGGTTTTCTCGAGAATTTTTCATGAACTCCCATGATAAGCAGAGAAACACCGTTTTCCACTTGAAATAAGGCACGCTATGGCCGGGTCAGTTCTGAGACATTCCTGCCACATTTTTAACACGTCCTACGGTATTGGCTTAGAAAACAAAACTCACGGCGTCTTTTTCCATGATCCGTTCCAACATGGTGCCCAGCATGTCGAAATCCGGACGGTCGTTTGGATCACTATGCCAGCATTGCTGCATTACCGAGTACCTGAAAATGGCGAACTTGGTTAAAATTTATCTCCCTCGAAACGGCTCTAAATCTTAAAGGCCAGCATGCGTGTGTCAGGAAAAACTAGAAATAACGAGTCCATTCATCTGGTATGAGTGGAAAATTCCATATTTAATATTTTCAACTTGTTAAGATTCTGCAGAAAACTCACAAAAAAAGTAATATCTTACAGTTCTTCCGCGCATCCGTCGGGGCGCTCCAACCTGTGTCCTTGTCGTACCATCTGACACAGTTTGTGGGACATAATGCCTGGATACGGCATGGCACCCATGGTCAGGATCTCCCAGAAGAGGACACCGAACGACCAGCTGAAAATGGAGAGAAAGTGACCACGGACACAAAAACAATGATCGCATCCCTTAGCAAATCTGCAAGAACGACACTAACAGCCTCGCCATAATGGCGTACACTCGAGTCACAAGTTTTGAAATGCACCCACCACCAAATGGGAGACTCTGAGATGCATGGGGGGTGGCAGAGAAACCGGTCCTTCACTGCGGTTGGGCGCGTGCTCAGAACTAAAAGCGCATGTCTAGAACTGCACGTGCATGCCCACATCAACCAAAACCACATGGATTAAGGCCGTGCTCAAATCACTTTGCTACGGCCGAAATTCGCACACGACTTAATGGGAACTGGCTGCGGCCACTGCCGCAGACGTGTGCGTAATTTCCAGCCGTAGCCAAGTGATTCAGTCTGGGCTCTCCTTATGACCTCTATGCCCAAAACGGACCATTGTGTCTGCCGCCACCAAGCATCTCAAAGTCTCCCATTGAAAACTATTAAGCAATATAACCCCAATGTTTGAATGAAATGACTTGGTTTAAATTGAGACCAAAAGATGTATATCCATCTGTACGTACCTCTTAAAGGTGTGTACCTTTTTAAATTAAGATATACAGCTTCAAGGGGATTTACCCAATCAGAATAACTATTTAATATAATAGGAATATCTTTAGAACTTACACGTCTGTTTTTGTCGTATAAATGTTATCAAAGAGTGACTCCGGCGCCATCCATTTCATAGGTATTCGACTCTGCGCAAGAAATTGTCATTAAAAAACTTCAACAAACAAGAATCGTTAAATCTATGCTTGGGGGCCGGACCTTTTGAAGGAGCTAGGTTCAGTCGATACCTTGGCACTACCATTCAAGCGTGTCAGAGTATCGAAAACATCAACAGCGGTTTACTTCAACGAGACCAAGTGGTCACGGAGGCCGAAGTCACAAAAAGTGCTACATATTGTCCCTAATTGAATCGTCAGGATTGTATAGCGTCAGGACAAGTCAACCATGTTCCGTCATTTCTCACTATGATAACACTGCATCTGATGTCCTATTTCAAGTAATGAAACTGAAATAATAGTCAATGTCACATTTTTCGTCGGAGTAGGCTGCAACCTGTTCAACGTAGTCCAGAATTTATATTAATTATCATCTTGCAAATGCCGCGAAACTGTGGCAAAACACTTCCCCACCTTGCTCCTTTTGACGTAGGTTCCGCTCTCGTAAAGATCTCGGGCCAGACCGAAGTCAGACACCTTGACCACCATTCCCTCTGCCACCAAGATGTTCCTCGCCGCCAGATCTCTGTGAACGAGCTGAGCGAGAACACTGGTAAATACTAACCTGAAAGCCTGGGTGTTCATGCTGAAATAATTATGTTGTTTGAACACTACGCTGCGAAGAAAACTGATTCCAACTATGAACCTGGAGCATTTGTTTCCCTAAATCCCATTGTTGCAGTGTTTAATGAGATCATCTACAAATGTCTTATTGCAGCCATAAAGCAGGAACTTGCAATGCAATAAGAACAACACACTTGCCATATGTTAGACTGTTGTACAACAATTATACCCAAACAATTTCCTCAATCAAAATGCCTCACCAGCTTCTGGTTGAAATTATGTAATAAGGTATCTATTACGAGCCGCACTAAATGGACTTGGTATGACATGAAAGCATCCTCACCTTAAGCATTGCCAGGTATTGCATCCCCTTACATATCTGCCACGCAAACGACAACAAATTTCGGTTGTTCCACTCGATGTGGGACCTGTTGCCTTCGTCTTGAATCTTATCGTAATCGTGTAGCGAACTGTCGTCCTGTTGATAGGCAGCTGCCTGGCGGTTCTGCCGCAGAAAGTCACGCAAGCAGCCGTGTTGGCAGTACTCGACGATGACGTAAAGTGGACCTGCGATGTACAAAACAGCTGGGTGTGTCACTCACAACGCATTCCTCCTCGTGGTTTGTTCTTTCGCTTCTTTACTGCGGCTTACCATCCCGAAACACGGCTAGTGTGTCTGAGAAAGCTTCATTGTGGCGTACCGAAATGGATACATCAGCGCACAATTCTGTCTGTAAAAGGCATCAGCGAGAGAACCAGCGCGTTGAACCAACACGCGTGCGCCGCTCCGTTCCTTTCCACCGCACTTCCCGGTTCAAAATGACGCCACACTTCGGTACTCTATAATCATGTCTGATTGAGTTACTTATGTTATGGTTGTTTATAATTGCATTCGCTTTCTGTGCAAAAGGCAGTACATGGTGTTAACTTTGAAGTGCAAAAGCACTGGCCAGGGGCCAATTTCACAGATCTGCTTAAGCGGGAAAAACATTGCTTAATAAACAAGGTTATCAGCTCAAACTCTATTATCGGATTGTCATGCTAACCAAAAAAACAGCTAAATGCAATCTCAAAACAATTATACATCACATGGAGTTTTGGCTGGTTACCTAATTTATCAAGCAAGGTTTTCTCGTGCTCAAGCAAATTTACTCCATGAAATTGGCCCCTGCTTTGCCACAAATGTACTGACACAATAATCTATGTGGTCCAGTCTGGTTTCGGGAAATTACGACGCCCACATAGTTTTCAATCATTGTTCCTCGTTACATATTATGAGCTGTTAGTCGAGTTTCAAGCTTACCCCTTTGTGTCGAGGCACCAAGAAGTTTGACGACGTTAGGATGGTTCAAATCCTTCAACAGGTTCATTTCCGTGATAAGATCTTGAAGATCGTCAGCAGAGTAGGATCCTACCAGGTTGAAACAATTCACAAAGCAGTATGGTGGAATATCATGTGGGAATACCCATGGTCAATGACTGTAGGCTAAATAATATTGGATACTGTTCACTGGTCGATTTATAAACCCCCAGAGGGTATAATTATTTGATACTGCGGTGCAAAACATTTATCTGTGGGGCCGCGTACGATTTCATACTGGGGCAGGTTTCAACAGACAAAAGCGAGGAAGGGTATTGATCTCAATCACAGGGCAGCCATCTTGCTCTTCTACCATCAAAGCAGGGTAACCAAACTGAAGCTGGAAAGAAAAATAGTCTGCTCCTTTTCATCAATATTCGAAGTTGTGTTACTGTTGCCGATGGGTCTACTGGGAACAAACATGGCAGTATCATGATTAAGGTCTATAGGTGGCTACGCAAGCAACGCAGTGGCCAAGACCAGCATAAGACCAGACACAAGACCAGTCACGAGCAACCAGGTGAATAGTAACATAAAATGCCTTTTGTTGCAGTTTATTCAAACTGGAATATTTCAATTTGTGGACTTAGATGCTCTCCTGTCGATCCCGTGATGGTCTCCATTGTGATGGTATATGTGATCACCTTTTTATGGGAGTCTCGACCACGCCACAGCGGCATCCACGCACACTCACCTTTCAGCATCTTGACGGCCACCGTGGTGTAGCCGGTGTGTCCCCGTATGCTCAGCGCCTGCGCCCGAACAACACAGCCAAACTCCCCCTCGCCCAGGACTTTGTCCAGGACGAGGTTCTGGCGGGGAAACTCCCACTTGGGATCAAACTAACAAGACACGAAAGCAATCGAGCTGCTCTTGAAACGTCTCAGGTTAATGTACATTCAAACTCACGTCAGTGTACTGTACTTCAATAATTTTGATATGGAAAACCGCTTCTAATTTACATCTTTTGATTTTACAAATCAACACCGATGAAAAACCAAATTATTTTTCTATCATCAAAAAACATATGAACATTAATGTGGTTCAACACAAGCAAAACAACTTTGACAGCAATTTCTTTGCTGCTAGGAAAAACATCATGTGGTACACTTTAGATATGTTTATTAAAAACAATACACCAGCGTTTGGACAAGTTGTGAATGGCAGTAACCAGTTTTACTCCTGAAATATTGCACCACTGTTAATTTCAAGTTGATGTGTTTTAATTTTGAAATTCAATAATCTTATACATGTACCTCGAATTTCACATGATTTTCCAATTTTGGATAAACATTTAAGTAACTTCAAATTGAATGTTTGTGGGCCCAATCCCAAACAGGTCAAGAAAAACCAACAAACCTCTGTTTTTAGGCGTGTCATCGAGCCTTTACTAAGATGTAGGCCGTCATCAGAACACTCAGACAGTACCGAATTGAGTCGCGAGTCGGACCCATCAATGACCGCGGGCGGCTTGTAGTTACGGCCGGAGAAGAGCCGGCGGAGAGGCGACCCACGGCTAACTCGGGTGTACACGAGTAGTGCCAGGACGCCCAGCACCAGCGAGGCCACCATCACCGCTATCAGGGTGTCGCAGAAGGTGCACTTGTCATCTCCCGCGCTGCCGTCGTCGGGCTTGGAGAACAGGCGGCTTGGGCTCACTGTTGTCAGAAGTGGATAGGAAACCAGACCTACTGTGGTGTCTGAACACAAGAAAATACCAATGAAATACGGATTTTCAGTTTGTGTCCATCAGTAAATTTGGTCTGGTGATTAACTTTTTAGGCGTCAGAAGTGACCAGTATCTTGAGCTTTGAATCTCTCTTCAACAAGTGATTCTCTGTCTGAAAATTTCTCTCCACCAATGAAAGATAATTCCAAAACTACTCATTATTCCATTGCCTCTTTCAAGGCTATTTGAATACGGAATATAACCTTGCAGGGTGTCGAGCAAAGTACTGTTCAAACATCTGACATATCAGGCAGAGTTTTGGTTTAGGTTAACCTGTAAAAGGTAGTTTTGACCACTGTAAGCAAACCAGATTTAGACTTTGTTCAATCTCCATGACAATTTCTCCAAACTTAGGCTTCGTCGTCAGCACTGATGTCTCTACCTCAAGCTTCAAACAAATCCCTTAAACCATGTGGAACTCGATTCTGTGTTCCGATATCTAATGATGCGATAGTGCAGGGTTTAAAATGATGACCCCAAGGAGCTGAAGCCGGAACGAAGCCTACATTTGGGAGAAAGCCTTAAACATATTAATGACTCGTCACCCTTCACCCTTACGAGGCCACATGGGTAGAGCATTAAAGACCTTTTGCCAAATCTTTTGCAGGAAATACGTCAGACATGCCGACATGCAAAGCAATGCCAGCTATTGGTTGTCCCAATCAACGTATATAGGCCTATATTCCGTGCGCATGTGTTGTGCGCACGCTGAAGTTCTGACCCGTGTTACTGTTCAAATGAACACTGTCCAGTGACAGAAACTATCTCGTGCACTTGTTGTTCCAAGTGCCCTGTGAGGGCGGTAGGTTGTTCGAGAATAAAATATATATGACCCACTCTGTGAAAATGAGTCTTAAGTTGCCAGAGCCACTTTGGAGTAAAAAGTCCTTTAGAATAATTTTGCACAGTGTAAATCAATAGGAACCCACAGCATTTGTCACCATGGAGTATCCACTTTCATCAGGATGCCAAACTGAGTGATACGTCAAAACGAAAAACTCAATTTGCTCTTTCTAGTACAAATCAAAACTCAAAAAGTGGCTCTGGCGACTCAAGACTCATTTTCACAGAGTGGATCACATATTTCTTGCAGTGCACGTCCTCATCTCGTGAAAGAAAAGGGGTATAGCTGCTGCCACCAAGAGATTAGAAAACGCTACGGTCTTCGGGAAACGTTTCTGACACGTTAACGCTACCAACAGACCTGTAACATAATGACGTCACGTTTTGTGTACACGTGCACTTTCCTATGACAAGTGAACTGGAACGCGATCCATCGAGCTGCCATCGGAAAGCACACACGCCAACAAAGCGAGAAGTCACTCTAAACGGGTCTATTTTGATCAAACTGTACGTACGGTCTACAGGCGGCAGATCTTGCGTAGTTTGCCGCTGCACTGGGTGGTCCAGGAAGTTGTCGCATATGCACCTCTGGCCGTCCAGTTCACACGAGCAGGGACCGATGGCGCTTCGGATCCCCCTTCTGTTGTCGTTCAGCGTCATCATGTGGGCATAGTTGGGTTCCGTTGTGACTGCATGGAGTGGAAACGAGAAAAGACGGGCGATGGAAAGAGCGGTGAGGTCAGTCGTTCTCTGGAGTTGGGTGAAGCATTTTGGGTCATGCTCAAAGGCGGATCCAGGGGGACGAACAGGGCTCATGGCCTTCCAACAGGAGTTGAAGTAATTTAAAAAAAAACAGCGAGAGAAAGACGATGTTTTGGTTTCCTTCTTTTGCCTGCCATCCGAAAGCGTATAAAGAGCCCCAATTGTAGACTCACCCCTCGAAAGGCCATAAAAGGTTACATGATAAAAATCTCAAGGTGTTAGTCTCTCCAGAGCAAGTTTGCCCCCCCCCCTGAAAATCTGGTTCTGGATCCGTCCTTGGTTATGTACAGCAAAGACAGCTTTAACCTGATGAAGGTAGTTCGCGCCCAACATCTACAACACACAACTGTCACGTGATGCATTCTGCTTAATAAAGTTGCATCTTACAGTCACACATCTGAAGTGCGACTAAATATTTTATATCAACTGTTTTTCGTTTTGTAATACATGTACATAGGCGTATATATGTTACCAGGAGGGGCTTTTTCCTGGTGGTACTGATTATAATCTAAGGTTGAAAAGCTGTTTACCACGATACAGAAGCTGTGAAGCAAATCAAGACCATTTATGCTTTCATTTTGTGAGCATGTTTTTGTTTATTTTAACTTTCGTTCACAACACCTGGGAAATTCGGTACGTTCTGCTAATGTACCGCGAGGGCGTGATATTCGGCGAATCAGGTTTAGCTTTACCTACAGGAGTTAAACTATTTTCCTCTGTGCGCTGTTTTTATGTAAAAATTGTTCTCTGTTGCCATCAAAACTGAATTTCACAAAATGGCCTGATTGTGGTAAATTCTCAGAACTTTTCTGATGTATCTCCCGAGGTGTACAAAGATATTTTTATACAGTCAGCAAAGACGAGGACCAGCCGGTAGCAGGTAGCCGCCGTGTTTTGCTGCAGCGCGACGCGGTCTAATTCTGTGCAATCGCAGATCTTTGATCTGGATCACGCAATCAGTTTATTGCCTTATTGAATTTTACATTTCAAGCTGCTGGGCATATTTGCGAAGAAATCGTCACATTGTTTTTTGCAGCTGAGGAATGCTCTTCAAGGACACGACCTCTTCCGAGACAACTCACCGATGCAGTCTTGCGGGCACAGCCGCGGGTAAAACAGCTCCAGGCTGTCGCAGACCGCGTCCGGGCAGGTGTTGAGGTCCGGAGAGCAGGTAGAGAAATTGGTCGTGTGGGCTCGGCCTTTTTGTTGGCGCCACTTGCAGCGGCCGTCCGGTGCCCCGATGCCGCAGCTGTTCACGCATTTTCCCGGACTGTTGTGCCTGGAACAAGTCGCTGTGAATTGTGCTAGACGAACAAAAAAGCACAAACAAATTTCTGACGGTGAAATCCCTCAAAGTGAATCCGGTATTCACACTGCAGAGCATATCAATCAGACCCTTTCTGTAGTCTCCTAATACAGTATTTTCAAGTTTGAAACGTCCACGCTGCAGTTGGAACAACCGTGAACTTAACAACAGGCGCTCGGAGTGAAGCCCGCCCCCTGAGACACTCCATGAAAACGTCATCAAGATACTCTTTGAATATTTGACAATACATCAACGTAAGTTATCTGTCAGAAGCTAATAACACGGTTTGCTATCCTATTGTTCCAATAGATATTGAAAGACTAAGAGTTATTCCGCAGTATGCATGCAAAAATAAAAGTAACTTGGTTACCAGTGCTACCTGTTGAAAATCGCTGGTAGCAGCAGACACGCTGGTGGCAGCAGACATCCCAGTCCTTTTTTCAAGGTATTGCGCGTGCTCAGAACTATGCCCGCGCGCTCAGAAAAACGTGCGCATGCTCAGAACTGGTATTAAGGACCAGCATGTTTGTCACCACCAAGCGTCTCAAAGTCTCCCATTACAAGCGTTTGATGTTAACTCATACAATTTTACACTGCGCATACTGTGCAGCTTGCAAACATAACAAATATTAATGACATAAACTCATTCATCTGAGGGACAAGGTTCGAAGAACGGTTATAATAAAACACTTACGCAAATCACACTCCGGCCTGAAGTCCGGTTTGCCTGAAGGCAAAAACATATTTTTGACTTTTAAATACATGGTACTTGTCGGTATGAATTTCAAAATTATAATTCAATGAATAATTTACATTTATTTGGCTAATGTTAACGACAACGTGGTAGTTTTCTACGCTGTCACACAAGCTTTCTGGCAAAGGCATATGGGTCTTTAGCTGGACCAAAGAGAGAGAGAGCGCTATTTGATTAGCGACGGAGACCCCTTTGGTCAGAAGTGAACTTCACTGGTTCACGAACGACTAGGAAATACAAGCGTTACGTTCGCATCGCTACCAACAGAAAACCACCCACCCTACAGAAAACCACCCAGGGGGTGCTTCTGCTCGAGGCGAACAATAGAAATACCCAAAATATCAGATTCGCTTTTCTCGTGGTTTGCCAGCCGAACGAATAGTCCTTACAGAGCTGGATATACAATGCACACGAGCTAAGAACACCTGTTTGTGATGTTTTGAGGTTTACGGGAACAGCGGTTAACTTACGCTCTCCTATAATGTCGATATGGAGTACCATTTCCGTTGCCAACCTGTCGCCTCCCCACGCAACCTGCCGCTGCGCGACGGCTGCATACGTCGTCAGGTTCTCGTTGGTGAGGGGCGTCGTGTCGCCCACGAAGACAAACAACGAGGAGCGGTTGAGCCGGAGCAGGCCGCCGTCTTGGAGGAAGCTGGTGGGAGGCTCGAGGATCATGGATGGGCAGGATGGGAACTCCAGAACTGCAACCTGCTCGGAGAACACAAAGCACACACAGTGCGTCATGAGAAACATAGGCGGTTTCGTATAGTATGAAGACGCTTTCAGATATGTCATGTCTCCGTATTGAAACAAGAGATGAAAAATTATTGAGAAGTTACCCTTACATTTGGGCTGATTCTAGGAGACCTAAAAGATGTCGTAATTACTTAAGGCTCATTGAGGCTGTATGTTAGGATGTATAGTGTTTGTGGACAAGACATTGTTCATAACCATGTCATAGAACATGAATAGAGTGAAAGTATTGCCCTGGGATGTTGTAAGACTAAGTTCTAATAACCAGCTGGCTAGTGAGAATAAAACTTCAAAGAAATTTGAGGTCAACTATGCGTGAACTTTTGTAACTCATCTAGTAGTCCTTTTTGCTGTGACGTTTAAGATCTACTAAAGTGACAGCATATATTATTCCACACAAATGCAACAGTGAGAGAGCTCTTCCGATTATTACTATGGACGGAGAATTCTTTAGTTTTCAAAGGAATTGCTTCCTCGAGTTGACTCGGCTTTGGCCTCGTCCCCACAGTCTCGCTTCTTTGACACAGAGCACACACACTCATTCCCGGGTCAGGGTAGCTTCCGTGGAAGCTACTCGAATGCACCTAATTTACCAGGCCCTAGCTGCGGAAGGAGGCGACGGGCACGCGCGCACTGCTCTGCTCTTACGCGAGTGTACAGACTGGCGTTCCGATGCAGCGTAAGGTTCAGCACGTTTCTCTCCGCAAGCAGGTTGATTTCCACGGTGATCGTGACGCCTTGGGCGGCCGCAGCCTGCCTCGTAGCACCGTCAAGGAGGACCAACGTGAGGATGTGACGAGCCTCGTAGCACCTTGAAAACGTTTGATTAAATATTATCTCTGAAACAAAAGAAATGTCATCAAAGACATCTTATAAGACTTTTTTACAAACCCCTTGAGGCAACTTTTTGTTTTATGATACCTTCCCGTCCGCGCTTTTTTGTTTGTTTTCAATTAATTAAGAAAATCGCACAATAACATTAGGCCTTAGGTTGTCGTTCTGTTAAGTAATTTCGGAAGTATTGACATATGCTGACTTCCATATCAAAAAAGGCCGATGCAATTCTTTTATAAACAGACGAAGAAGCCTCTCTGACGTTTTATATTCCGGTCAAATCTACCCATTTTCCTCCCAAGCTAAGGGTTTGAATAATCTGAATGTGGAGGAAATAAGACTATAAGCCATGGATAAATGGCATATCAGATTTTTTTTTACCTCCAATAAATCTAGCTCCAGATTGCGCAAGGTCCACCGACGGTGGCGCGTTCGTTGCCCCAATGAAACCATAGGCATCTTTGTGTTCTCCTGCCAACGACACAGCAATGGTGTGCAAGTTCTTCACTCTGGGGTCGTGCGTCCAAATTCTTTCTACGCGATCGCCCTGCATCAGAATGGAATCTTTTTACAACAAATTTTAAGCTCCGCTTGCTAGACGCCTCACATACAACTTCCCCAAAAGGCCAGGCCAGACTTTTGCACTTCCATTCAAATCAAAGTCTGGGGTCAAGCATAGCCACGCACCTGTGATCGTTTGGGTACCAGACATAAAGTTCGCCGACTTCATTATCTTTTTTGCATGACACAACTGAAGCGGAAATTCTCAAAACGATGGATATATCCGCTGGTTGAGAGGTTAATTAAGTAATAATGACGTCCAAAAACAGTATGTATCAAATCATTTGAGGTGTGTCCACTGAATCACTGACCTTTGACCTGTTTTGTCTGACGCTGACGTTGTAGTCAGGTACATGGATCATTATCTGTCTGGTATCTGATTTCTGATCACCGTCGCTTGCCGCATCCTCCACCGTGCACTTCACTGTTAAATTTCTCGACTGTAGCTGGGCACCAGATCGGCGTATCAAAACTAATTCCGAGGTCCGGTTATCAATGTAAAGTCCATCTGAGCTTCTTTCTGGTATAGAGACGAAAAGAGGAAAATGAAGAGAGGGAAACGGCTTTAACTAAGTTTAATCAGCGCCTGTATATGCAGTGCGCATGTACCATACGCATATGGAAAAGGTTGGCCAGTACTGTTATTCAAAACTCTGTCCAGTGAGTGCTTGACAAAAAGTACGCCATGATTTGCACTTCGAAGCGCTCTTCGTGGCCTTTGGGTAACGAGCGAACCCTATACCCAGCGCCCAGTAAGGGCGGTGTGAACGAGCGAACTGTTGGTGGCGTCCTCGCATACCTAGCTCGACCAGAATGCTCACCGGGTAAAAATGCGTATTCAAATGAGGCACCGTTGGCGTGTGAGCATCGGGGTGGGAACGACAGGGCTCCAAAGGCACCGTTCGCAGCGTTAACTCGCAGCCGGAACGAGTAGTCGGCCTCCCCGAAGCAGGCGCAGCGAAGGGGTGAGGCCACCATGTTTACCATAACCAACGCCCGGGCCAGCGGTTCACTGCCCAGGTCGCTGATTGCGAGTCTTTCCCGCTGAGTCCAGGCCGAAATTTGTAAAGTGAAATTCCATCCTGTGTGATAAGACGAGAAAATATAGAACTCTGACAACAGTAAAAATAAATGTAAGTAACACTCGCGGTTCGTAAACCAGATCCCCAATTATATCACCGAATCAAGTTAGTGTATATCAATCCAATGAATTGGTTTTTAAAGGGTCAACAGCTAGCTTCTCATGGTAAATGTAGAATGACCTGCGCTTCTGGTGACCCTATTTTAACATATTTTCATAATGTTAAACGAGGAAATTCTTGACACTATCTTTGACGAACTACACCTTCCAAACTTTTGCTCTCTTTCTTCCGTACCGGAATACCTAAGATCTCTCATCACTCGAAGCTCATTCAGCATACCTGTCAGGTTTCCCCTTGTAACGGTCGACTGCTGCAGGGAAATAATCCCCGTTTTCTGGTCGATAGTGAAGAGATGACGAGCCTCCCCGTCGTCCGCGGGGCTCTGAAAAGTTCTCGCCTGATGAGTGTGCGAGGTCTGGACCACCTCCAGCGCGTAGACAACGCTCGCGTTGGCCGAGATCACGCGCGTGTAGACCCGCGCAATCGCCTTGTGGTCCGGGAAGTCCTGCGCTATTGTCGTTGTGTAGGTGTCCATGGTGAAATAAACTGCCTCTGCCGATACTGTTGTAATCAAAAAAGTTATCAAAAAATTAATAAATTGATACCTTAAAATCAGCATCACAAAATATTTTGCATATACGCCCAGTTCCGTCCTATTCAACATCCTCCGTCAATATGTGATTGAATTTTCACTAACAACACAACTTTTTTTTTTGTTCTTGAAAAGTTTAGAATCACAACACTACTCATGACTGCAGTTTAAACAAGAATGACTGTGGGAGTGGGTGAACTGTAAGACTGACGGTTACATCAGCAGTGCCCTTAATGTAGAAAGGCACTTACATCCGCGCTGCAAACATCTGTTCACAGGCAAAGTAAATCTAGCGAGCCGATGTGCACTTCGACATTACAATAAGAGCTCAAAAGTGCTAGCGGAAACCAGGAGCCAGACATCCACTCAGCCTTCGGTGACAGAAACCTTGAAAAAAAATCTTCTGCTTCAAAGATACCTGACTCTACTCAGTCTCAACCGAACTTCAGTTGGAACGAGAAAACATGAAGGCAGCCTTATGTCGTCAAAATATTTTCCGCTCGAAGTTCAGAATATCCGAAAATGATCTCGAAATTCCTTTACTTTCGAGCACATGGCCGGGTTGACCAAGGATGACGTTTGTTCCAAGCTCACGGATCATGCTTGATATTCCAATGGAAAGTGCGTACGCGTTATTATTAAGCACGGTTCAATATTCGGTATAATAAATGTAAAACGGAGCCATAGACGATGTACCGTTGCGTGATGGAACTTCAATATCAATCTTAATGCATTTCCGACATTGACTGCATGCAATATGGCTACCGCGGTTCACTATTCTCATCGGCAGCGAGTAGGCCTACCATCAGCATTAGTCACAGAGAAGCCATTAATTTGTTTTATCATGTTCGTTGTTCAGTGTAATATGTTAAGATAGCTGGGTGCCGGAGTATTTGGGGTTCCGTGTAGGCCGGTCACTTTTTATTTTAATGTGGCCAAAAATTGGCTATAATTGATTACAATTCTCAACTGTTGATATAAAGCATAAATGACATTAGTATGTGGCGAATTTTATTTATTGCTTTCATCAGTTTTTCTTCTCAAGTTCCAAAACAGAAAGGTTAACCTCGCTTTCAATGCCGTCCGACTTGTGAACGAGGCCATTAAATCAAGCACTTTATAGTGTACCACGCACGTTGTGGAGGTTAAACGTTACAACGTCACCCGAGTACAACTGGATACAAGACTCTCGAAGCGCGCAGCAAAGTACGTCTTTGTGGCCACTGTCTGCGCGAGTTGATTACAAAAGCACAGAGGGGAAATTAAAAGAGTCTTCTCGGGAAGTCGATGTTTGCACACTTTTAAGACGCACTACCTCCTAGTTCGGCAGATTGGACAAAGAATCCGCCAAGCATGTTTGCTGACTGGCAGCAAAACACTTCACGGACTGGATATTGTTGAGGAAAATGGATTGTCCTGTCGATTTGTTTTCAACCGAACGCGGCGCGGACGCGGCCTCTCGGCTAAAGTGCACGACGCGCCAGAGAGAAACATATGTCATGATGATGACATGCTACTGCGAGAGAATAATTTGGCACGCGTGGTCAATATCTAACACAGAGCCGTATTGGAGATGTAGCATGAATGAAGTCTGTTATATTACTGTAGCGGTATGTTGGCCTACTTCGGAGGGGAGAAATTAAAGAGTGTGGGGCGCTTCTGAAGATACGATACTTGTTCTTTGAAAAATTCGGTCAAATTGACTTCAACTTTTAGTTTTATTGAACCGCAGCTTAAATTGAAAAACTTGAAATAAACATATTATCCAAGTATATTGTGAAAATTCTCGTAGACTGTTTGATTCGATTCCAACCAGCAAGTATAGTCTCTCTGACTTGCAAACGTCGCAGGGACATTAATTTCCCTGAGAGCGGATTACCTGTTAGGGGTCCAACATTTTCACCACCCAATAGCAAACCTGACATTGGGCAGGATTAAAAGAACGGCTCGAGTGAAGACCACAGCATTCAAGTTTCTCACCTCATCAGGGTGAAGGACCTGAACGGGAATCGTAGCACGCGGAGTTCGAAGAAATCACCGATCGAAATCGTGCCGCGCTGTTTTTTAATCACAGTTCCAGATCAACATTATCTGGGCAAATTTGCGGAGACAGTTCCAACAAAACCCGCGCGGGATGTTCCTCGACTCGGCCTCGATTTAAGCGTTTTCAGAACTCCATTTCCTACTGTGCATTTAGAACATTCTCTATCCGCAGGCCTTGCTACAGGGCTCCTATAATTGAGAAAGCACCTGGTTTTTTTCCCCCCGTGTTCCGTCCTCGAAATAGCATACGGAGTTTGTCACAATTTTGTTCGGAAATTGGCGTGAAATCTGGCAGTATATTAGTGGCTTAGGCGCATCACTGCAATTATCGTAAATTCCTAGGCGGAAATGACTTCAACGGATGCATCATGTCTCAAGCAGTTTGTATGGGTGTGATATGTGTCAAGATCTTAAATTGACAAATAGGTATAGACTCCGTCCCCCATCTTAAACGAGGAGGGATTTTAAAAGGAAAGAGGAATACGTGATGGGAAACGGGGCATCCAGTCCTGTAAGTTACCTCCTTTTAATGCATAAGAGCGATTACAAAGCGTTCCTGGCGATTACAAAGATCTTATTGGTTTAATTGTATGTAGTTCAGGTGTAGATTCTCAAAGTTCAAACTGCAACATTGTTTCTTCCCTTTTGCCTCATGAGAAGACTAAATTGAAAGGTCAACCGAGTTTCACTGATTTCAACTTCAGGTCCTTCTGAAGTTCCCTCTCCCGGGCCACGTCACACTTTGCGCCAGTGTCCTGCAGCCATTGTCGACTGAAATTTGGTCCAAAACGGCTATAGCCGTACTGACCTAAATGAAGGAAGCAAATATTTTTGTCTGTTTTACGCGGTGCTTGGACCGTTCCTATGGGAACAACCAGGGGGGAGGAGAGAAGATATGCGTCGGAAAGCAATTTCCAAGTGCAAACACATCTCGCTGGAAATTTGAGGATTGGGGATTGGGCGATGAGCTGCTACAGACCAGGCTTTACTCGGGTCGACAATAATCCAAACTCGCCTCATTACCAGATGGCGCTCCTACTGTGCCAGATATCAATGCACTGGCTCACCGCTTTTTAGTCAAAATTACCTACCTAACGCTGACAGACGGGTGAAATATTATCATCCAAATTTCTGTGAATTTATTTTCAATTATTTCAAATTCAATTGACAGTGTAGCATATTGAATGCCTTCATAAACAAAGGAGAAATCCAATACTCTCCCCGAAGTACAATGCCCAGTAGATACATTGCTATACCAGGCACGCGCAGTGTATCACCGACTCCCCGCATAATTAAAAGAAAACGTTTCTCCAAATATCTTGATCGATTCGAGTAATTACAAAGAAACCATTACAGAATCCAAAACCTTCTTTGCAGTTGAAACCTATTCAATCTACATTCCATTAATTCTCTTTCATATTTTCCGACGGTAATTTAAATAAAGAAATCTGCAATTCTGACGTTCCACTTTGCTTTTACCGCATCCCTATCCCAAAGTCCACAACAGATACCTTTGACTATTCAAGCCGTGTACCATAACTCAGAGGTAAATGCCTGTATTAGAGAGTATCGTTCGAGTGAATCCGGAAGCTGATTGCTTGGCAAAGACAGAAATATGCAAAATAAAATCATCACAAATGACCAACAGCATAACGTGTGGGCGACTGACGGGTTACCAACGACTTGACCCCTGTACCTAGTAACGATCCCGGCATCTGGATTTTCATTCAATGACAGAAATTGAGATTGTCACTTACGCATACAAATAGAGATAAAAAGACTGCGTGTTAGGACAGGAGATAAGACAGAGCACTCTTGCTGGTGATATCCAGTTAACAGCAATGGTCACATTTTAAATACAAACTCATGACAAAAGATTGGAATAGGCTGATTAAACAGGAAGCCAGCGGCGTAATTGCGCGAGGGGACGGGCCCAACAGCAGATATTCATGTCCCGGGTGCCACAACCTGAAGTCTTGAAATGAATACATAACGTGTACAATTTGCATTAAATCTATTCCTGACGCCCCCTTAAAAAAAGTCCACAAACTAATATGCCTAGAAAAAAACGCAAACACTTCGCCCTAGTTACGTCACTGCCTGACCCAATTGTTTTGCTGATGAAAAGCTATCATTTTCAGCAAAAATGGTGCTCGTACGTTGAAGGTTTACGCTCTACTGAGCCCCAAAAAGCGAGAGATCTCGTGAGATACATACTTGTCTGAACTTAATGTGCATGACGGACAGTGACTGTTCGTCGTGAAACGTGGAGCCAAATCGGTGGACTTAATTAGGTGATGAGCGAATGACATGTGGGCACATGTCAGCAGTGAAAACAAGCACGTACTAGGTAACTAAGTAAATGGAAACTGACAGGAATTAATCCGCTATCCAAGTGCGTTTTCTATGGACCGCGAGCTGGACCAAGAGAGGGCGCTATTTTCTGAGCAACGGAGGCTCCTTTGGTCGGAACTGAACTTCGCGGGTTACAAGCGACTTGGAAATGACGCTACACAGTCGCATCGCCACCATTAAAAAAAGAACAATCCACACGCATGCCGCTCTTTTCAACCGCGTACCGATGAGGGGGTGCTTCTCCATGAGTTGGATTCGTTACAAAATCTGAATCAACGATCGTAATTACTAACAGGTAAGTGTGATATTTTTAACATATTCTCGGGTACTGACACGTACAGCTTTAAGACTATATTCTTGACGTGGTTAGGATGGGGCCCCCTCCAGTGCAGCGGCAGACTTCTGACGTCACGGCATAATTTCGGCCCGTCCAATTGGCAAAAGTCGACCTTTTTTTTTTACTTCGGCGAGGTTTTTGCGTGAACAAAAGTGATCACGCGTGGCCGGACTGAAGGTGCACTATCAAATCAAAAGTCACGTGCCAACTCCTGCAGCTCGGTCAGTCACTCGA